GGTGTTCAGATTAAAAGATTATCCATTTACCGGCCAGAATACCTGAGAGGGGAAAAAAACTATCAATTAAAATTAAGCAAAGGAAAAGACAGGTAAAAGCAGGCATGGTAGTTTACATTTGAAATCCCAAGCTTTGGGAGCAAAGGCAGGAAAACTGGATTTCAAGGGTACCCTCTGCTACATGGTGGGTTTAAAGCCAGCCTTCCCAACTCCCATGTCTTCCTTTGACCCATTGAGTTTAATTAGGGTTGTATGCATGAACATGTGGAAGGGTTTATTTACTAGAATATGGGCAACTTCTCAGTGGTCATATCAGTGAAGAAAGCAACATCCCCTCCCTCAGTATCCATTAACTGTCACTAGCTCCCCAGGAAGGGGTGTGGCTTATGAGCATCTGACCTTTCTATGATAGAATCTTTGTACCCCCTCACCCTTTTCATTTTTTTGTTCAATTACACATACTTTCTATCTAGAAATATAATTGAGAAAGTTTTTCCATCTGTATTTCTAACACATTTTAAATTCTTCAGCCTTACCTTAGAAAATAACAAATCTCCTTCCCTTTTTTCCTTATTTTTTATGTATTAAGATTATCCTAAGGGAATCTGTGGCTGATATGTAGAACTGAATGGTATTGTAAAATAAAATAAAAGGAGAAAAAAAAAGATTATCCTACATCAACGTTGTGATTTCAACTTCATAGAAAATGTGAACGCTTAGAGACTTAAACAGATATAGCAGTGTATGTGTGTGCTTGCACATGCATGAGCACACACGAGTGTGTGTGTATGTATAAAATGACAGATGGGGAACTTATTGCCTCATTGACAATCAAATATATTTTTAATGGCTATGGGGGGCATGCTTTCTGTGATTTGTCACCTTTTTTCAGAGTTGTGACTGGATAAGCATCTTCTTGGGCTTATCTAATTTCGCACTATGTTCCATAGCTCCAGAATTTTGCCCCTTCAAACATTCTTTTTATATGCTGATATTTCAGAAGGCCATTATCTCTTTCAGACATCACATTCCGTATAAGAAGGTATTTAGTTCTTCACATAAATTCAGTTTTGTGGGTCTTAAAAAGGAAAAGCCACAGGACCACTATATTTTCAATCAGGTCCAATCAGGAGCAAGAGCAAGCATATCTCCTGGCAATACTTCCTGTCCATGCACCTTCCACCTACATCCAATCAAGGACAAGTGCACATCCTGACATATTTCCTGCCCCCATACCTCCTGCCCACGTGTAATCAAGCACATCTGGTGCATATGGGTCAAACAAACACGGGGCAAACAGGAACTTATTCTTAACTGCCTTAACTGCAAACACAACTCCTAACATGCAAGGTCTATTTTTCCTGTTTTGGTCTCCCATCCACTTGAATGGTGTATTGTTCTTGTTCCTGTTTTGTTCTCACAATGGCTTCTGCCTGCTTCAGGGATGAAGGGAGCAACTTTGAAGCAGGTGGCTCTTTTAACTGTGTCCTATTCTCAAATAATGCTGACATATGAGAACCTTCAGCCAGCAGTACTCCAAGAAACTTGGGCAAGAAGTCTACCAGTCTCAATCATGTATCTGAGCAGCATACCCCAGCATCTACTTACACGGTACTTCTCAAAGTTTTGTCCCTAGCAGAAGTGCTTTTCAAACTTTAGCATGTGTTTGAAATGCCTGGAAGGCTTGCTGAAACACAGCTGGTTGGACTCCACCCACGGAGTTCCTCTTTGAGTAGATCTAGCCGGAGGCCTGAGAATTTGCATTTCTAATAAGTTCTCAGATGCTGCTTCTGGGACTGTTGGTCCATGAACCATATCTTGACACCACCATTCCATACCACCCTTATTTATATACTAAGAGCACTAGAAAGTAAACCTTTAGAAATCATGACTTCTTTATTCCATTAATTCTTAGCTATTTACATGCATTATATAAACTTGGAATAATGATAATTAAGCTTTGTTATATAGAAACACGTAATAAATTACAGTTTAAAGGCCTTTTTACAATTTCTTATATATACTCATTATTACCTTTAAAATCCAGCAAAATTGTCTTCAGGTTCCATAGGATTGCATGTCCTAAATAGAGAAGTGTTAAAATAATCCATGTTTGTACTCTTTTTTTCTTAGCCAATCTTTTATTTCCTTATGATTCTCATTATATTTATATTTTTATTTAGCATATAAGACCTCAGAAGCCATATGGTTGAGGAAAATGAAAAACTAGGGGATACATTTAGACCTAATTTGAATTCATAAGTATGGAAATTAAGTATCCTTGACTTTTGGGGGGGTAGACTTGACACTATTCAATCTTAGGAGTCCAATGTACATACTTTGGACCTAGGAGTGAGATTGTAGTCATTAAAACCCCCACAGAAATGGAAAACAACAGTTGCGATCCAACAGCTTTGGAAAATAGCTCATTTGAAGAGATTTTCTGCTGTTGCGTCCATTGAACTATTTTAAAAGTATTTCCCGAATAAGAAAATATTCTGCCTGATGTTGTCAATATTTCAGACCACAAGGGTATCCTTGAAGAAAATGGTGCCTTGCTGTCCTGAAAATGTGCCTCTGCTTCCCTAAGGGCCTAATTTACAAAGCAGAAAACTGCTGGTAGGATTTGGCTGAAAATCACATTGTCTGGATAGAGCCCTTTCATCTGACTTCCTGCATACTGCTTTGAAAGTTATTTACTAGTTACTTGCTATGGAAGCAGAAGGTGAGTGGTGTTTCTAGTTTAAGGGCAGAGGAGCTAAGATGGATGGAGTGCTCCTCAGCATGGAGATGACACAGAGAATAAAACACACACTATCTAATAATCTCTTAAGCTTCATTCTGCCATGGGATCCTTTCATATGGTCCTTTTATTGTATCTGAAATTGGACTATATTCAAAAATAAGTCAATGCCTTAGCCAGCCTTGTATTCTAGATTGGGACAGTTTATTTCTATCACGAGTTTTAGGCTGGAAACTGCCTCTTTTGCAAATCATAACCAACTTACTCAAGAGCTTCCCTTTATATTATATGCCCAACTTTCATATTCAGATTCCCAGAGCTGTGACAATAGCCTTGAATTTTGAAATACTAAGAAACAGATTGCAATTTGGGTATTTCTGTTTGGATTGACATTTTATCTAAAAACTAGGGAAGCTGCAGTCCAGGTTAGCCCTGTACCTGTTCCAGATTTAACTACTTTGCCCAACCAGAACCCCATGGTACCTTTTACTTGCATAGTATTAACATTTATTTAGGAGTTGATAAATAGCTTAGGGTAATGCTCATGTTTTTCCAATAGTGATATCCTCATAAACCTACTCTCTTCTCTACCAGTTAATGCAGACAGAAGATTTTTATCCAGTATGAGCGCTGAGACTACACTGTGAAAGACTGTGTGCTCAGCAAAAACCTCATCCATGATGAATAAACAGCTCTTCTGGGGGCTTTGCTGCCTCCAGCTCGGCGGGAGTTGTTTATTGCCTGCTTTGCACATCCCATGATAAAGTTGCTGCTAAAATAAATTGCAGTTTTGCATAATTATTGACAATCACATCCTAACAAGCAGTGTGTATCATATTCAAGTGTTCAATTTTTTGAAATCCATTTTTAGCTTATGTTTAATCCCAGAAAGTGTTTGTGTAGTTGTAGAAGGCAAATAAGGCATTTAAATAGAGTACTAATTTCCTCATTGCAGACAAAATTTACCTGAATCTTTTTAGATGGGACTGTTACTGCTTAAGGCAATTTTCCCTCCTGAGCTATTATTATACAGATCTTTGCTCAGGGCATTTGTATGTATGTCCACATTATATGTTATATATATATATATATATATATATATATATATATATATATATATATATATGTATAATTGGAAAGTATGATTTAAAAAATTCTCATAAGGAATTTTTGTTTCTTCCAGTTTAAAAAAAAAACTTGGAAAATTAGAAAATGACATGTAGGCAGAGAAACTAACATTTTATTAACAATAATAAGTAGTCATATTATGTGAAGTTTGATGTTCATCATAGCAGTAGATAATGAAGAAGAGGAAATGAGAAATCAGAGAATTTATTAACAAGCCATATCACACAACTGGTAAAGGATATCAGGAATTGAATCATTGTTTGTCTGATTTGTAAGTTTCTACTTTTTCAACTTGATGCAACATTTTCCTTTTGGATAATATCCTCAGTCTAAGTCCACCAGGTAATGCAATATGAACCTAACAAAATACTTTTAATAAGCAAGTATTTGGCAAGATGATAGTTTGTACAATTGTATATGTCTAATGTGTTCTTACTAGTCTTATTGTTTCTTCAACTACCAATCCAGCCCTCCAATTTCTCCTTCAGTATTCACCTCCCAACCCTCCATTTGTATTTTCCTTCCTTGTTACTTTATCTATTTAATCCTTTTTCTTGCTTCAGTTTGATACCAAAGATAGGCATGGCAGGGGAATTGAAGGTTTTGCATATGAAATTTAACTTCAAATTCTATGGTATCTCAAAATAAGCTTTCCCATTGCCCAGCACAAACTCAAGGTTGGAAGGAAGATAATTTGGAGTGTTTATGAACAAAATTTGTATCTCTCTCTCTCTCTCTCTCTCTCTCTCTCTCTCTCTCTCTCTCTCTCTCTCTCTCTCTCAGGTGTGTGTCTGTATGTGTGTCCATTTCTATAGAAATATTTAATTATTGTTCATTTTTTGAGGGAGTTCCCATGGATTAAACCTAGTGCCTTGAATTTAGTAAGAGAACACTCTACCATTGATCCACATCCCCAGCCCATTGTCATTTATTTTTAATAGCTCCATTTGTAAGCTTTTCTCCAAGAATAAGCCTTTAGATGAAATAGAAAGGAATATTAAACAAAATGCACAGTATTCTGGTTGTTGGTTAAACTTCAGGAACACACCATCTTTGCTCATTTTACTGAGTTCATTGTATGTACCATCCTGATGATTGTGAATCCCATATGCCTGTTTGTCCTTTACAGAGTGAACGAGCGAGAGGCTGCTTTGGAAGAAATTCATAGGTTACTGCAACAGTTCCCTCTAGACCTGGAGAAGTTTCTTTCCTGGATTACAGAAGCTGAAACAACTGCAAATGTCCTCCAGGATGCTTCCCGGAAAGAGAAACTTCTAGAAGACTCCAAGGGAGTCAGAGAACTGATGAAACAGTGGCAAGTAAGTTGAGTGTTTTGTTTTAGCACTCTAGTGAATCTAACTGAAGCATTTGTACTTGATATTGACAAACTAGGTTTCTCTTCAGCTCCCACCAAGTCCCCACAGTCCCGCAGCCCACTTATAAAATAAACACACAGACGCTTATATTACTTAAACTGTTTGGCCTAATGGCTCAGGCTTCTAGTTAGCTGTTCTTATATCTTAAATTAACCCATTTCTATTAATCTATAAGTTGCCACGTGGCTTGTGGCTTACCGGTATCTTTACATGTTGCTTGTCATGGTGGCAGTGGCAGCTGGCAGTGTCTCCTGATTCAGCCTTCCTCTTCCGAGAATTCTCCTTTTCTGCTTATCCTACCTATACTTCCTGCCTGGCTACTGGCCAATGAGGATTTTATTTATACAGAGCAATATCCACAGCAACTGGGGGCAAAAATAAAGTTATTTTATTCAGCATGATACAGTTCATCATTTGGGCAAGAAGGAAAGACACAAGAGGCAGTAAGAAAACTCATTTGTGATTCAATGTAATACCATCAGCTTCTAAAAATACATGTATTTCTGACCAGAAAAATACTTGCCTAAAACACCAGGGGTCTTGTCAAGCAGAAATTTTACTCAGACAGAGAAGTAAGTTAAAGATAGGTTTATTAAATTAAAATGGTTGCCATTTTCACTGTTTACTTAATGTCTTACAGGGAAAGCATCTGTAGGAATTGTCTGTTTTATATAGCGGTGCTAACTAAATCAGTTTCCCTTCGTTACTTTCAAATACATTCTGAAATGTTAATCTGACATTTTGCAGTTTTCTTCCTAACATGATCTGTGAAAATAAAAATGAAATTGCTAAATTTGTTATAGTTAGTGGTTGTACAATTTTCAAACAATTGTTTTCCCTGGAAACAAAAATTATTAATTCTGTGTACATGAACAGCAATAACAGAAGGCTAGAGAAATATTGTTTAAATGGAATCTTGGCAAGAATCATGTTCTGTAGTTTAAGGGGTTTTCAAAGGTTTATTATTAACAACTGATGGAATTTTCCTGAACTATTATGCAGCATTATCACATGTCCTTTCTTTTGTGACTGTTTTTTATATGTACATATAAATGAACATCACTAGTATCTAGAATATAGTTTGACATGGTAATTTGAAGACATTTTTTTGGACTAAGAAATTCTTTTCATATTGTTCTCCTCTATCTATATTCTGTTTGGATATGACAGTTAGTTTGTTGCTCTGGTGCAGACAGTAGGTAACAACAGTGATTTATTACATCTTGAATTTGCCATTCTTTTTTATCTTCCTTCTCTGGTCCCACTTGCCTATCCACAGTGATGTTGTTTTGTTTGATCCTTTGTAGGTAATTTGCTTAGAATAGTGGTCTAATTTATCTCTGTAGAGATCTCCCACAGTTTGTGTCAGAGTGTAAAAGCCATGCAAATTCAGATTTTATTTTGTCTGAATCTTAAAGGAATGCTGAAACAGTGATTGTAATGCCATAACACATTTGGCTTATGCTATTTCACAAATAAAAATTTATTTCATCTTATAAGTGGTTATAAGCTATAATAGAATTTTAATTAGTACATGGGTTCACATTTTCCCTGCAACCATGATTGATAAATGGTACAACTTTGATTACATGGCTTTTTAAAAGCAAATTATGCTGAAAATAAAGACTAATCAACTTACCTAGATGCTTTATTGTCAGATATTTAATAAGCTTCCTCTGAAAATAATGTAAGTAAGGTTGAAGTCAAATATATCCATGATCTCCTATATCATTTATATTTATATATTCAATATTTATATGTAGGTTATAATCTTGAGAAATTATAAAATTCTGAATAATTAAATTGAAAATTGGGTATATTTCTTTTTAAGTATGAATAGGGAATAAGTAATTTTGTGTTTTGATTTTTTCATCTTCTTTCAAAAACAACTGGAAATTACTCTGGAAAAAGTGTCTTAGCTTTCTTGTATTACTTAAAATGCATGTATGTGTGTGCTTCTCAGATCTGTATATATGCTTTTTTCTCACTCTCTTAACCAAACTGAAGTATATTTCTCACATGAAGTCCAAGAATGAACCTTTCTGCATATTTAGGCTATGACACTGACTACATAAAATGTTTAAAATGCCAGAGTCCCTCAAACAGACCCAGCTACACAACTATCTTCTGTAGGCAGGGGGCCTAGTCAGGTCCCATGTAGGCTCCGCAGCTGTTGGTCTAGAGTTTGTAAGTTCCAAAAAGTTTGGTTCAGTTGTCTGTGTAGATTTCCTCATCATGATCTTGACCCCACCTTGCTCATATAATCCTCCCACCTCTCTTCGACCTGGGTGCATGAGCTGGCTTTTTGGAGCCCATTCCCTATTAATAGGATGCCTTGCTCAGCCTTTATGCAGCAGGGGTGGTGGTCCTGTCTCAACTGATGTACTAAGCTTTGTTGACCCTTTTTCAGGAGTGGATGTGGGGGTGGATCTGGGAGGAGGCAGAGGAGTGGGGCAGGAGGAGGGATGGCAGGGGGAACTGTGGTTGGTATCTAAAATGAAAAAAAAATTAAATAAATAAGAAAAATAATATAAAAAATGCCAGAGTCAGAAAATGAACATTTTAAAATAAGGAGGTACATCTTTATAGTCTTACTGTAATGACTGTTTTGTTGTTTTTGTTGTTAACTGCTGTTATTCCTAAATAGAGCCTTTACTTGGTATCCAGTTAATTATTTGGGGCCGGGGCAAGTACAGGTTCATGTGTGGAGGTCAGAGGAGGACCTTGGAGGCTGGCCCATGCCTATTCATCTTACTTGAGGAGGATCTCTTTGTGGCTGCTGGCCCTAGCTGCTCTGGAAGTATCTACCCCATTTTCAGGAAGCATATTGGATGCACAGCAAGCTTTTTCATGGGGTATGAGGCTCTGAACTGAGGTTGGGAAGTTTGCAAGCATGAGGTTTTACCCTATACTCTGGTTGGTATTCAATTAGTAATTCTCCAGCCTCAGAATCCCTGAATGTTAGAATTATAAGTGTATGTTGTCAGGCCTATATTGAACTGTATTGGTTATTAAAAGAAGAAAAGGAGGAAGGAACCCCCATACCCAATCAAACTAATAGCTTTCCCAACAGATCTTGAGCCCTCTGTCTACTCCAAATATGAGCATAATTTGTTTTCTACAAAGGCTACTGTGCGGAGAAAATAGATGAAGCTTTTAAAGAATTCTTTTTTCTGAAATTGCCAACTGTTCTACATAGAAAGACTATAGGTCTTATTATTTCTTGTGATATTGACTATTGCCTTTGGTTATTAGCTACTTCAATATTTAGTAGTCTCAGCAGTAATCGTAAATTATGGGATCTATAAGCACTGCATATATTATAAATCATGTACTTCCTTAATAAAACTAGTGAATAAATTTCACTCTGAAACACATTAAAATTTCCTAATGCATTAGTAAAAATTGTTATTTACGTTCATAACTGAAATCAAGTAATAATATTATGCTTGTCCATACATTATGATGAGGACATTTTTCTTATAGTTACTTGTGATAGTCTAGCTGGAATATTTAAGCCATCAAACTTTTATATAATATAATATATATCCTGAGCAGTGATAGTTTGATAATGTTTAAATTGTAAATTTATTTTAAAAATAAAGAACTGAATTCATAATTGAATCAGATTCTTTTTCTGTCCAAACATTTTTCCTTTGAGCCTAACAGAGTTGAAAAAGATGTTTGTGGATCATGCTTCTAACAACAATAGCAACAACAAAAATACTGGCTAAATGAAAATTGAATGACTTTGTAGTTTTGCAAATATTCTACAAGTCTTATAAACTCTATGAGACTCTTTAAGTAAACCTGCAATATCATTGTAGTACTATCCTGTGAAGAAGCTGCCTTGCTATGGGTATGTAGTTGGGATAGTCTAATAACTAAGTAAGAAATGTGTGTACTATTTGCAATTCCTCCATCTCTGAGCTGAGTCTGTCCCTGCCCTCTCTATCTGCATGTGTATCAACATTAGTTATTTCATTTCATTTGCCTGTATCGTCTTTCAACATCACCATGTTATGAAAATTTCTCTTATATTGAATAAAACGTTGCCAGAGAGACAAGTTTGATGAACTTTGAATTATACATCTGTATATACCTATAAATTAAGGTAGGTTTCATCTCTAACACATTATTGAAATTGAAAAAGCCGACTTCAGAATTCCTCATATAAAATCTTGATGCATGGGTCAATTCCAAGGAAGAAGAAAAAAAGAGATCAAGGCAGTATATTTACCACCTTAAGTAAATTGAGACATCACATTTTTTTTGAGATATTATATAGTAGAAGTAGTCTGTGTACTTCTAATTCTAAGGAAATCTTCAGTGGACTAGTCACTATTGATTTGAATTCATTTGTCTGTATTCTTTTAATCTGCCTATATCTTCCTTTTGTCTGGTGTTGATCTCTTCCTGTTCTACATGTGAAAAATATTATTAAAAATCACATTTACATGCAAGTTATAGTCTTATATTTATACTTTATATTTATATTTCAACTTGCATTAACTTGGAAATTCTTTACTAAGTACCCATCAGGTGCTTTAGGTAAAGTGATGACAGCTTACTTAGGATAGAGGTATAATTCAGTTCCAATGCTGGGTGGTGGAGGTGCATGCCTTTAATTCCAGCACTTTAATCCCACCAGGCAGAGCCAGGCAGATCTCTGTGAGTTCGAGGCCAGCCTGGGCTACAGAGCGAGTTCCAGGAAAGGCTCAAAGCTACAAAGAGAAACCCTCCCCCTCCAAAAAAAAGAATTTTTAGTTCCAAGAAGTACACCTAGCACATAGCAGCCATGTCATAAATGATAATAGATAGCCAGATAGCTAGAGAAGTAGATCTAGACCTATCTGGAGTCCAGAAAAATATCTGAAAACATTTTTTTACCTTCCTTATTCATTGGGTGAGACTTTCAAAATGCTGAATTTTAAGTTAGACCT